TATTTATACAATTGAATCATCATATATCTCAAACTAATCAAGAACAAAGAAGAAAAGAGTGCATCATAACCTGAACCAGTCGCTAACGAACCCCCTCGTTGGGCGACCCCAAAGTGCTTTCGCTCAGCGACCCTGCTCATTGTGCGAATCCTCCAGACACTACCTCCAAACTCCAAACCACTTTATCAACGACCCAGTTCACTGATTGAATAAAAAAAATCCCGGTGTATCAGATCCCAACCTCTTGCTCAGCGACTCCGCTCGTTGTGCGAGACCTGAGACAGTGGTCCAGACCCCCAACTCACTCGCTCAACGACCTCATTCGCTGGTCAAATAGAAATTACAATGCTCCCATACCTCAACCTCTTGCTCAACGTCCCTGCTCGCTGTGCGAAAGTTCAGACAGTGTGCCCAACTCCTCAACCACTCGCTGAGCGACTCCACTCGCTCAGCGAGTATGTATAATTCTGCAGCACCAAACTGCAGAATTACCCAACTCACTCCAAAATTTACCAATTCTAAATATTTCCCCCAACTTCTAATCCTCCTAAATTATGTTATATACTTAATTAAACTTAACTAAGTGGGTCTAAACCTTTCTAACCTTATTCTAAAGTGTTTACTAACCAAATAACTCTTCAAAACCTATCAATCATCAACTTATGAATCCAAATCACATTCTACCACTTTTGGCACAATTTTAAGCAACTTATGAGCCCAAACTATTCCTATTTGACTTACTAAAACTATCACAATAGACCAATTGAGTATCTAACCCCAAATTCTCATTTTCACTACTCCCCTTCCTCAAAACTAACCTTAGTCCATGACAATATGACTCTATTCACAACTAAACCACATTATAACATATTTCTCACATTACATGTAACCAATAAAAAATCAAACATCACCCAATTCAGTTCACTATCACAATTCATCAATTTCACACTTAAACAGTCAAATTGCACATTTTCATATACCCTAACATCATGAATTCAGCTCAATGAATTCATAAATCCTAAACTACTGAACATACATAAATAATTACTAAGTAAAGAAATTTTAACTTCCCTTACCTCAATGAAATTCTGCATAGCTCTAGAAAATACTCCGACCGTGGCTTGCACCGCAAAGAGTTTCTAAAAACACCTACAAATCACCGATTGGGGATTAAAGAGAAACCTTAGAACCTAAATTGAGTCAAGAATTGAAGAAGATACCGAATTGATACATGCAACAAAAACCCCTTTTGCATGATTAAGAATCAAGAAAACACTACAAAAAAGAAACGAGACTTACTTGCTTTAATCAACAATCTGATCGGACAAATAGGTAGACATTGACGTCGTGATTGTCTAGGTATCTCCTGATCATCAAACAAGTGATCAAGGAGTGAGAAAAGTTAGAGAAATGGTAGAGAGGTTAAGAAAATAGTGTTTTAGAGATAGAAGATATTTAGATAATGAGACGAGCTTTAAAAAAATCTTATTTATATTATATGATTATTTTAGAATAAAATATTCGATCTCATTATTTTAATACACCTATCAACTCTAATACTCTATTTTCTAGATTCTTACATTCTACCTCGGTCAGTCCGACGCAAATAGAATTTTATAATCATATACCGTATAAATAACATAGTGTTAAACAAATTATGTTTATTATTATAATATTTATTATTATTTGTAAACACATTTTTTTCAATTAAAAAGGATATATAGATGTTGAACATCTCAACTTAAAAGTTAAAAAATATGGTAAAGAATTATTAGTGAAAGTTTTTACAAACTATGTTTGATTTTATAAGAAAAATAATAATAATAAATAAATAAGTTTAATTACGTTTTTAATTCTCATTTTCGTAGTTAATATTTTTATACTCTTAATTTTGAAACCCTGATTTTAATTTAGTATAGTTACATTTTTAATGATATTTTAAAATCACCAGCTAGATATAGGTAAATAAAAATCCTCAAAAACCTTTAATTGAAAAAAAAAATAAAAAAAATATAGCTATTGCAAGAGTTAGGGAAACCACATGCCATTTTTTTCCCTAAACCAAGAGATGTCACTTTTTTGATAGAGAAAAAAACCAAAAAAATATTTCAAATGTTACCTTTAAAGTTGAATTATAAGCAAATAACATTTTCTTATGTTGTGAGCTAAACTCATTTTCCTAACTCCCACTATACTCTTTTATTTTCTCTCAACATACATTTCTATGAAATATACATTTCTATGAAATAGTGGCATAACTTTTAGTATAGATTCACATACTTTTAAGTAGGAAATAAAAGGACGAAAAAGAGAGAATAATAAAATGTAATTATTTGTTTTTATAATGTATGCATATAAATTTCATTCTCCTTCACACTTTTTTTCGATTATCTTTTTGTTTTCCACATAAAAGTGTAAACTAAAAACAAAATAATATGAAATGTTGCATTATTGTCCATTTGTGATAGAAAAGATTTAGAGTTATGCTAACCCAGACACCTGGCCGTATTAGAATGCACTTTTCCTACCAATAAGAAATCTTTTTCAAAATATATTTAATATGTAAAAGGTTATTTTTATGTTAAAATAATTAAATAAACTCTATCCGTTTTACCAAAGAATTTTATAGTTTTAATTTTTTTTCCGACAAAATTAATAGACCTTCTGTATTAATGAGTTTACTTTCATTTCAATCGGAAAAAATTCTATATTAAGAGTTTAGTTTCATTCATTTTGATAAAAAAAAAAAAAGGTGCAAATTTGACCCAACTCAAATTTTTATAACATAAAGTGTAGAAAGGTTAGAACATGTATGATCATAAGCATAATTATTGAAAGATTAATTTGATTAATGGGTAACAAGATTAGATGCTTCCTACAGTGACAAATTCAAAATGATAAGAAATCTAATAAAGGAATGAGATAAAGATATTTGCATTGCTTAAAATCTATAAACTCTAACATCGAAAAACAGCAAAAAATAATGTATTCGTACAAATATAATTTAAACTTTTTTAACTGACCAGGAATTATTATTCTTATAGTAAGAAATTTAAGAGGAATTACATTATATAGAAATAGAAATGAACAAAATAAAAAAAATATAAGTAATTTTATAAATTTATTATTTTAAGGTTTTAAGTTGAAACTACTATCTCCATATCTTATATAAGTTTATGATTTTTTAACATTAAATATATGATGAAGATTATCTACGTTTAAGTTATAATTTAATTATGTTATTTGAGCTAATTCATATATTATAAATTATAACTTTTGACTTGGGTCCAATAATTAAATGTAAATAAATAAATAAATATNAGGTATTACACAATTGTGAAGTAAACATGAGTCTCTTGGGAAACGATACTTGGTCTTACTAATTTTATATTACTTGATAAAATTTGGTACATTTGCTAATGTGTTAACACAGTCGAGGACAAGGGAAAAGCCAAGGAGATCAATTCGAAGCGAAGTCTTTTAAGTGTGGCAAGCATGACCACTATGCAAACGAGTGTAGATCGAGGAAGTGCTACAACTATGGTAAGCCCGATCACATTGCTAAATTCTATCGAATTGAGAAGAAAAGTGAGAGAAACCTTCTTTCAGAAGAAGATGAAAAAGTAATGGGGATTTTGTTGTTTTCAGAAAACTCTGAGTAGTGCAAGAGGAGACCAAGAACCTTGATGCCGAGTAAATTCAGACTGAGTTGTTTGAGGTCGAACAGGAGGAGACTAGGTATTTAGAGCCGCGAAATAGAAAACCGGGTTGTCAAGAGCCAAGAGGTGAAGGTCGATCAGTTAAGTGCCGAGTTGTTAAGGAACTTAGCAATGCTAATGAAGTGCTCGGAAATGGAGGAGAGCTCATTCCCAACAATGGATTAAGTGAGCTCGGTAAATGGTGCGACAAACGTAGAGAAGAAAAACTTGGACAAGAAACTCAAACGAAAAGATGAAGACATTCAAGAGATAGGGAGGCTTCTGGATGAAGCTAATGAGATTATGAATACATAGAGGGTTGAGGTTGAAGAGATGCAGAAGGCGGTGAAAGACAAAAAGGATGAAGCATCTAGTGTTCTTGAACCAAACAAAAACGGGAAAGAAGATGAAGATGTTGAAAAGAACCCAGGTATGAGAATCTCAAATGCTGAGATAGCAAAAAATCTTATGAGTAAAGTTTCGAACAAGGTGAAGAAGTCGGGCAATGTTGCTGAAAGGTCGGTCAAGATGGTTGAGAAGTCGCCTAAAGAACAAGTTCGTCAAAACATTAAAGACTTCAGTTAAAGTGAAAGACAACACTACCAACAGGAAAAAATTGAAGAATCCAATTTCTTAATCGAAGAAGCAAATCTAATGTGGATGATGCACCTGGAAAACCGAGGTGCAAAGATGAAGGATGGAAAATTTAAGTTTACAAGGGAGTTTTGTTGGGTTAAACTTATATTTTAGGGATTTATTAGTAATTTTGTTTGAGTCTTATTTTATTAGTTTAGTCTAGTAATATTTAGTTTGATTTTGATAGAGATAAAATAAGGATTGATAGTTTTGATTTTCTATTTATTTAGGTATATTATTATTTTATTTAGTTGATATAAGATAGAGATAGATTAAGTAGTTGTTTTTAGTTTGAGTCAGTTATATTTTGTTTTTAGTTTTTATTCTTTGTACTTGGCCCAAAGTCCTATTTGCACCTATTTAAAGGTTATCAAGATTCAATAAAAATTACCAGAGTGAATTGAAAAGTCCTATCATAGTGTGTATCACGTATATTTTCTACAGAGAGGACATAATGGCCAAAGTGGACTCTTCAATGTATATACTGCAAGAGAATAAGTCATACCCAGAAAAGTTGTTAATCCTTGCATGGTTTTCTTGACAAGAAAGATGTGCCTAATCGAGAACTGAATCCAAAATCAGAACTCACATTACTGCCCGCCCATGTGCATTAAACCTGCAAATCAGCATATCCTGAACCCATATTCAAGAACATACCAAGCAACAATCATTAAATCAAGTTGCTGATCCTGAACAATTCAAAGTAGAGAAAATTTGGAGATTAGATTCAACATCGGTAGCAACATCACCATCTCCCAAAGGAGTTCTGCTCTTTCATATTCCAATTGCTCAGATCTGCCCATGGAAATTGCTGCTAGTTCATTTACCAGCAGTGGTGGCCTCAAATTGAAGGTTGGAACGTTCCCCATTCGTCTCTCAACATGCAATCATATCATCTCATAACCCTTTCACTCTTCTATTGCTTTGACTTAGTGACAATTTGACATACCAAGCAACAATCATTAAATCAAGTTGCTGATCCTGAACGATTCAAAGTAGAGAAAATTTGGAGATTAGATTCATCATCGTAGCAACATCACCATCTCCCAAAGGAGTTCTGCTCTTTCATATTCCAATTGCTCAGATCTGCCCATGGAAATTGCTGCTAGTTCATTTACCAGCAGTGGTGGCCTCAAATTGAAGGTTGGAACGTTCCCCATTCGCCTCTCAACATGCAATCATATCATCTCATAACCCTTTCACTCTTCTATTGCTTTGACTTAGTGACAATTTCGTTCCAAGACTACAAAATCCCATCTTCCTACTCTTTCTTTTTTATCCTCAAATCCCTAGTATCACTAGCAATTTTTAAACTTTTAAAAGTTTTATTCAGGAACCAAATAACTAATTTTGCAATAACATGGATTATTAAGTAACAGTAATAATCTCAATCAAACATTAATTCATAAATGTATCTAACGGCTAAAACCTTATAAATTTCATTCAGGGACCAAATAGATTTCATTCAATCACTGCTTAAAAGCTCACTTAGACACACCAAATTTATATAACACAATACCAAAGTTAGTTTGACAATGTCTATGATAACAAAGTGGGGGAAAATTAAAAACAAGCACCCATTTAATTATTACCCATCTTTTACATAACATTAGGAAACAACCATCAAATGGGCAGGAAAAAAAGGTTGAAAAGGTTGACACATGATAGTTACAGGGGAGATTGATTACAACTGTAAACAAAATGGTATAGATAAAGTAAACAGTAAGAATAGATAAGCCACAAATTTAATTGCCCTACGTAAGAATACAATGCTCTTGTGCTAACTAGCAAATCTATCAGCTCTAAAGCTCAACTTTGTTAGTTATTTGACCTCTAAAAGAGAGAAGATCTCATTCTTTGTGAGCATACACTTTAAATAGAAAAAATTAGATGAGCATTTGAATAAAGTACATTTTCTTCCATGTATTATGAAAGGTAGCCTCTTTAATCCAGCTAGCAATCCAGCAAAGCAAAGGCGAATTTATTTTTGTGCTATTTTTGGTCCTTTTCTGGATTATGTAAAGGCCAGTTACTCACACAAAGAATCATTGTCTTAGGATTGCCATCCCCTGCAGCTTCCAAGCTAATTGTAAAACTAGCAAAGTCTCAGTGTTTCAACATCAAAATGATATATAAATGGTTTAGACTCATCATCCATGTGACCAGTGAGATATGAAAGGCATTTATTAACAGATTCTAGATGCAAGTGTGAATTGTCTTCAACAAAAAAAGGCAGGATCTTTTGGTTAATCTCAATCCAACTACACCCTGGATTCTTCTTTAACCTAAGCTCCTTCATCTTTGATCTCACCTTCCGTACCTCATCCCATTTATGTGCAGAAGCATACATATTTGACAAGAGAATGTAGGCTGATGAATCATCAGGATCCTTATCGATAAGAATTCTAGCAATTTCAACTCCTAGATCAATATTTTTGTGCAAACGGCATGCAGAAACTAATGCGCTTAGCAACCTAACATCATCCCTGATTTCAGGGTTTCTATGTAGAATCTCGTATGCTTCATGCAATCTTCCAGCACGTCCAAGAAGATCAATCAAGCATGAATAATGTTCAACTCCAGGTTTAATGCCATAAACATTCATCATTTGATTGAAGTAATGGCATCCCTCATCAATCAACCCAGCATGGTCACAAGCGGATAATATAGCAAGAAAAGAAACCCTATCAGGTTTTACGTTGGATTGCAGCATTTCAGTAAAAAGCTCCAAAGCTTCATAGGCCTGACCATGGGACCCATAAGCAGTAATCATTGAAGTCCAGAGCACAAGATCTCTTTCTGGCAAACAGTTGAAAACACTGAATGCTTCATCTACTGCGCCACACTTTGCATACATATCCAGGAGAGCTCCCATAACCACTTCATTGTTGTCCAATTTTTTCTCCATGATCAGATTATGAATCTCTTTACCTTTGTCTAGTGCTGCTAGTTGAGAACAAGCTGCTAAAACACTGGTACAAGTAATAGCATCTGGCTCAACATAAGATTTTCTCATTTCACTAAACAGGGCAAGGGCTTCAAATAGTTTCCCTTCAGTCACATATCCAGAAATCATGATATTCCAATAAACTACCTTGGACTTTGGTATTGATTTAAAGATGTTTTCCGCTAACCCTACCCTTCCACATTTGAAGTATAGATCCATAAGTGAACCAATAATAAAAACATCAGGTTGTATTCTGTTTCGTATTATATATCCATGTACAAACTTTCCCTCTAGTAGTCGAGCAGATTGTGAACAAACCATCATTAAACTACATAAAGTAGTCAAAGATGGCTTGACTCCTTCGTTGTACATCCTCTTGAAAAGGCGAATGCATGATATGCTGTCACCTCTCAAACCATATCCACTAATCAAGGAATTCCAAGCAACAACAGTCTTTTTAGGCATCTGCTCAAAAACCTCTAGAGCCTCTTCAAGGTGACCACATCTTCCATACATGTTAACAAGAGCAGAGGTAATGAAACTGTCCAGCAGAGACCCACTATTAACCAACTCCTTGTGAATTTCCATTCCCCTGTTCAAATCCAAAAGTCTGGCACACGAGGAAATAGAAGTTGTGATTGTAACTGAATCAGGTTCAAATTCAAATTTCCTCATCAGGCTAAAATACCGTAGGGCTTCTTTGAAGTTTCCACTTTGGTAATAACAAGAAATTACGGTATTCCAGCATGCCACGTCCTTCTCAGGCATTTAATTGAACAGCCATATGGCTTTCTCAAATGCATTGCATTTTGCATACATTCCAACAAGAGAGCTTCCAACAACAATGTCCATCATTAAACCAGTTTTTATCAAGCATGTATGGATCATTTTTCCCTACAGAAACCTACACAACCCCCCACAAACCTTAATAACACTAGGGTAAGTGTAACTATCAGGTTTCAGGTAAGGGTAATGTAACAACTTCTCAAAAAGCTTTAGGGCTTCCACATACATGTAATTCTTAGTGTAACCAGCCATCAGGCCATTCCACAAGGATATCTCACATGGGTTTTTCATGGTATCAAGAACGCACTTTGCATGATCATACAAATGGAAAGAAAGATATAGGTTAATCAAATTCTTGCATAAATATATATCATTTTGCAATCCCAATGTTACAGCTTTCTGATGAATGAGCTTGCCTTGCTTCAGTGACTTCGAATTCTTACAAGTTCTCAAAAGGGATAGCAGTTTTCTAGTGTCCATTCAGCAATTACCAAGAGAGACACTACACAAAAACCATAATCATCAATCTAAAGCATGGCAACAAAACAAATAATAACAACGGCACAAATACAAAAGGGTGGCAGAATCAATAGTGGAGAGCACACCAGCTTATAAATAGTTGAAGGCGCAAAAGATGAGGTGGAATATAGGCAAAGTCATGAGGGTACAAAAACTGCTAAAAGCTTGAACCTCTTGATTAAAGTCATTTTCATTCATTGTAACTGAAAAAGGGTTCAGCCCCACTTTTCCAGATTTGGGATTCAATTAGAAATATACAAGTTTTTGAGTTGGAGATTTAGAAAATGGTTGTGAAAGCAAGATTGTGAAATGCTAGATTTGGTTTTTGCTGCAATTTTTCCTCCATGTTTTAAATGTGTTAATATAACAATTATAGTCATTGGCGTCAGCATTGGTTCCGCCTTGAGTGATGGTAAAATTCAATGCCCTTTTCAAAGATTTTTTTACAGGAAGGTTTAATTCCTCTAAAGTGAGAAGTTGAGGTTACATTGTAAATTTTACTGGAGATCCCACAAAGAAATGGCTAAATAATAGTATATAAATGAAGGCATATACCACCTTATTAAGCCAGCTCTACAGGGTTGACTTAAAACCTTCTAAGTGGATACCATAGTCAATCCTAGAAAGGTTTGTGGACCCTGTTTATGTTGCTATCGGACCCTATTGAACTATCCACAAATATCTAATCCTGAACCATCCACAAATATCTAGTCTTCACATAATCTTAAATGGTATTTTGATTCAAAAACAGCAATGAATTTGGATAAATACTAAAGTAAAATGAACTCGTCATTACCGTAATAAGGTCACTTTGATAAGAAATTTTTGAGAGAAAACTGGACGTGCACTGTGGAGCACATTCTTCTGGAAGCAAATCAAAGTAGGTTGCCAAGCAAAATTAAGTGTAAGAGCAGGATGTGTTATGTTTAGTGGTTTTTCGTGTGTGTCTCTTACTGAATTATATACAAGATTACAAGCAGATGTTTAGGGCGTTTTATTCCTTACGGAGCTGTCTAGTTTTGCTCTTTTAATGATTACATGTGAGGAAAGGAAACGGAGGACCAACCTGGACAGCAACCATTGGTTTTATGGCGTCACGGCGGTGGCTGGTGCTCCGTGATGATGACCGGAGACGGCGGCACAGTAACAACTGGTATGGCGTTAGAGGGAGGAGGCGGCGTCCTGAAAAAATTAACAGAGGTGTAGAAAGGGACTCTGCAACATAAGTTTTTGATGTTTTTGTTGGATCAAAGAGAAAAAAAGAATTAAGAAGATATAAGTTGAGGTTGAGGTTGAGAAATAAAATTAATTACATAATGGTATTCGAAAACCAATCAACCAAATTTTAAAACCAAAGAACTATTAATTAGCTAAAACCAAACTTCTTTATATTGAGTTTAGTTTTGTTCAAAATGTAGTTCTTATTTCAAAATATATATACACTATTATTTGTCCTCGAGCATATTTTTAATAATATTTAATATTTGATAAAAACATTTTATAAAATTAATTAAATTTATATACTATATTTTAAATTAAAATAATAATAATTACAATAAATAAATGATAAAAAATCATTAAAAAATTATATATAGATATACTTATACGTATATATTAATTCAAATTACATTAAAAATTTTTAGGAATCAATTTGATTATAAATGCAATGTGTTGAAAATAAATAAATAATTTATATAAAAAAATTATATAATAATTATAATAAATTCTTCAAGATTTATTTATAATAATAAATTTAAATTTTTAAATAAATTTTGTATGAGCTTAAATGTGGTATTAACAATATCTCCTAGTCATGTTTTTGTGGTTTGTAAAAATAGATATTAGAACAGTATGAGCTTCTGTTAGGTGGGTGAAGTTAAATACTATTATTTTCAAATTCTAATATGATTAGAATTGTGAGTGTATGTTTGATGGTCTCTGATTGATTTAAATTATACTAATTTTAATTGATGGAATTATTCCTAAAATCTATTTTTGAGTTTTATGATGATACGTTGTTTCCCACCTTTGAATTGGTCTATAATTAGTAGTATGCTATAGGGATTTTTTTGTTGGAACTATTAGTTGAAATTGTGGTTATGTTTGTCTATTTGAAATGGATGAAATTGAAGTCTTAGTTAGTTGAAAATATATACATATATCTTCTTTTTAGGCCTTGTATTTGGGCCAAAAACATTGTTTAATGTTGATTAAATCGCTTAGCACAAACTAGAGAAGATTAACACCACTTTTGAGCCTTGAAGCTTGATTAGCGCCTGATTTGGACTTGGAAGAATGAAGAAAAATTCCTTGGGCGACCACTTAAGGGTAGTCTCAAAATTCCTAGATTTGTTTCTCTCCAGAGCATTAGTGCTCTCTCACATACCGCTTTTCTCCCTTACTCTCTCTGGTTTTAAATTTACAAAAAAGGAAAAGGAATGAACGAGAAAGGAGAAGGAAAGTAGAAAAGAAAAAGGAGAAGTGACTAGAGAAGAAGAGAAAAGAAGAAATCATCCCTTCTCATTTTTTTTATTCCCCTAAAAACTGATGAAAAAAAATATAATAAAAAAACGCATAAACAAAAAAATAAACCAGTTTTGATCTCGGTTGGTTTCCAACTCAAAAGNCCTCTAGTAGTCGAGCAGATTGTGAACAAACCATCATTAAACTACATAAAGTAGTCAAAGATGGCTTGACTCCTTCGTTGTACATCCTCTTGAAAAGGCGAATGCATGATATGCTGTCACCTCTCAAACCATATCCACTAATCAAGGAATTCCAAGCAACAACAGTCTTTTTAGGCATCTGCTCAAAAACCTCTAGAGCCTCTTCAAGGTGACCACATCTTCCATACATGTTAACAAGAGCAGAGGTAATGAAACTGTCCAGCAGAGACCCACTATTAACCAACTCCTTGTGAATTTCCATTCCCCTGTTCAAATCCAAAAGTCTGGCACACGAGGAAATAGAAGTTGTGATTGTAACTGAATCAGGTTCAAATTCAAATTTCCTCATCAGGCTAAAATACCGTAGGGCTTCTTTGAAGTTTCCACTTTGGTAATAACAAGAAATTACGGTATTCCAGCATGCCACGTCCTTCTCAGGCATTTAATTGAACAGCCATATGGCTTTCTCAAATGCATTGCATTTTGCATACATTCCAACAAGAGAGCTTCCAACAACAATGTCCATCATTAAACCAGTTTTTATCAAGCATGTATGGATCATTTTTCCCTACAGAAACCTACACAACCCCCCACAAACCTTAATAACACTAGGGTAAGTGTAACTATCAGGTTTCAGGTAAGGGTAATGTAACAACTTCTCAAAAAGCTTTAGGGCTTCCACATACATGTAATTCTTAGTGTAACCAGCCATCAGGCCATTCCACAAGGATATCTCACATGGGTTTTTCATGGTATCAAGAACGCACTTTGCATGATCATACAAATGGAAAGAAAGATATAGGTTAATCAAATTCTTGCATAAATATATATCATTTTGCAATCCCAATGTTACAGCTTTCTGATGAATGAGCTTGCCTTGCTTCAGTGACTTCGAATTCTTACAAGTTCTCAAAAGGGATAGCAGTTTTCTAGTGTCCATTCAGCAATTACCAAGAGAGACACTACACAAAAACCATAATCATCAATCTAAAGCATGGCAACAAAACAAATAATAACAACGGCACAAATACAAAAGGGTGGCAGAATCAATAGTGGAGAGCACACCAGCTTATAAATAGTTGAAGGCGCAAAAGATGAGGTGGAATATAGGCAAAGTCATGAGGGTACAAAAACTGCTAAAAGCTTGAACCTCTTGATTAAAGTCATTTTCATTCATTGTAACTGAAAAAGGGTTCAGCCCCACTTTTCCAGATTTGGGATTCAATTAGAAATATACAAGTTTTTGAGTTGGAGATTTAGAAAATGGTTGTGAAAGCAAGATTGTGAAATGCTAGATTTGGTTTCTGCTGCAATTTTTCCTCCATGCTTTAAATGTGTTAATATAACAATTATAGTCATTGGCGTCAGCATTGGTTCCGCCTTGAGTGATGGTAAAATTCAATGCCCTTTTCAAAGATTTTTTTACAGGAAGGTTTAATTCCTCTAAAGTGAGAAGTTGAGGTTACATTGTAAATTTTACTGGAGATCCCACAAAGAAATGGCTAAATAATAGTATATAAATGAAGGCATATACCACCTTATTAAGCCAGCTCTACAGGGTTGACTTAAAACCTTCTAAGTGGATACCATAGTCAATCCTAGAAAGGTTTGTGGACCCTGTTTATGTTGCTATCGGACCCTATTGAACTATCCACAAATATCTAATCCTGAACCATCCACAAATATCTAGTCTTCACATAATCTTAAATGGTATTTTGATTCAAAAACAGCAATGAATTTGGATAAATACTAAAGTAAAATGAACTCGTCATTACCGTAATAAGGTCACTTTGATAAGAAATTTTTGAGAGAAAACTGGACGTGCACTGTGGAGCACATTCTTCTGGAAGCAAATCAAAGTAGGTTGCCAAGCAAAATTAAGTGTAAGAGCAGGATGTGTTATGTTTAGTGGTTTTTCGTGTGTGTCTCTTACTGAATTATATACAAGATTACAAGCAGATGTTTAGGGCGTTTTATTCCTTACGGAGCTGTCTAGTTTTGCTCTTTTAATGATTACATGTGAGGAAAGGAAACGGAGGACCAACCTGGACAGCAACCATTGGTTTTATGGCGTCACGGCGGTGGCTGGTGCTCCGTGATGATGACCGGAGACGGCGGCACAGTAACAACTGGTATGGCGTTAGAGGGAGGAGGCGGCGTCCTGAAAAAATTAACAGAGGTGTAGAAAGGGACTCTGCAACAAAAGTTTTTGATGTTTTGGTTGGATCAAAGAGAAAAAAAGAATTAAGAAGATATAAGTTGAGGTTGAGGTTGAGAAATAAAATTAATTACATAATGGTATTCGAAAACCAATCAACCAAATTTTAAAACCAAAGAACTATTAATTAGCTAAAACCAAACTTCTTTATATTGAGTTTAGTTTTGTTCAAAATGTAGTTCTTATTTCAAAATATATATACACTATTATTTGTCCTCGAGCATATTTTTAATAATATTTAATATTTGATAAAAACATTTTATAAAATTAATTAAATTTATATACTATATTTTAAATTAAAATAATAATAATTACAATAAATAAATGATAAAAAATCATTAAAAAATTATATATAGATATACTTATACGTATATATTAATTCAAATTACATTAAAAATTTTTAGGAATCAATTTGATTATAAATGCAATGTGTTGAAAATAAATAAATAATTTATATAAAAAAATTATATAATAATTATAATAAATTCTTCAAGATTTATTTATAATAATAAATTTAAATTTTTAAATAAATTTTGTATGAGCTTAAATGTGGTATTAACAATATCTCCTAGTCATGTTTTTGTGGTTTGTAAAAATAGATATTAGAACAGTATGAGCTTCTGTTAGGTGGGTGAAGTTAAATACTATTATTTTCAAATTCTAATATGATTAGAATTGTGAGTGTATGTTTGATGGTCTCTGATTGATTTAAATTATACTAATTTTAATTGATGGAATTATTCCTAAAATCTATTTTTGAGTTTTATGATGATACGTTGTTTCCCACCTTTGAATTGGTCTATAATTAGTAGTATGCTATAGGGATTTTTTTGTTGGAACTATTAGTTGAAATTGTGGTTATGTTTGTCTATTTGAAATGGATGAAATTGAAGTCTTAGTTAGTTGAAAATATATACATATATCTTCTTTTTAGGCCTTGTATTTGGGCCAAAAACATTGTTTAATGTTGATTAAATCGCTTAGCACAAACTAGAGAAGATTAACACCACTTTTGAGCCTTGAAGCTTGATTAGCGCCTGATTTGGACTTGGAAGAATGAAGAAAAATTCCTTGGGCGACCACTTAAGGGTAGTCTCAAAATTCCTAGATTTGTTTCTCTCCAGAGCATTAGTGCTCTCTCACATACCGCTTTTCTCCCTTACTCTCTCTGGTTTTAAATTTACAAAAAAGGAAAAGGAATGAACGAGAAAGGAGAAGGAAAGTAGAAAAGAAAAAGGAGAAGTGACTAGAGAAGAAGAGAAAAGAAGAAATCATCCCTTCTCATTTTTTTTATTCCCCTAAAAACTGATGAAAAAAAATATAATAAAAAAACGCATAAACAAAAAAATA